ATCAATTCTGCTCATTATTCTATAGATTACATCATAATTATATTATTTCTAATTCAAATATTAATTGAACAGTGGTTTTGAATTAATAGAGATAACAAAGTATTCATATTAAGTAATGAAATAAATATTCAATGAAGTCAATTTCATCTATATTTCATTTGAGATGTTTCTGATATAATTGACATCAAAAGTAGTACTTTATTTTGAGATGTGTTTCAAAGATAACAAATTCTTATATGTCTAAATCAATACCTTCATATATCAATGTTAATAGATAACAACTACACTATTGGTTTAAAAACAGAGGATTTCCAAACTCTTAAAGGATTCATCATATTAATTATAAATGGTTTGAGCTTATATATATATATATATATTTATAATTAAATATTTCAACTATATTCACATCTTTACTCATGTAAAGATGTGATATAGAATGATATAATTTGATTTATTCATCTCCGATACATATGTTTGTTATTATCAAAAAATTTCAGTTGAGTGTATTTGCTTCCTTGGTAATGAAAAGTCTTGAGTCTTCTTTCATTAAAGTAAGTTGATTCTATTCTTAGTTGAATTTTTCCATTCAAAGAGAGTAGAATTACTTCCTTAATATGATAACTTGGTCCTAGACTTTTTAGTTAGCCAGGTTTACTCACTTCCTATCAATACTATAAATTTATCGATATGCTATTTCATGATCTCTCTCATTCTATTATAAAACTCATTTTTACAAAATGAACTAACTCAAGACTTTATGTCCCATAAAATACAAGGGCACATTGAGTTTTGCTAACAATCTTTAAATCACACAGCACTTTATTATGTGATATTAAATTTTTTATGAATATTCTTATAACCATGAAAAAAAATTGATCAAAGAATTTTCTTATAGCTTCTTTGTACCTTTTCAAAATAACACTAAAATTAGAAATTCTTATCGTATTTTCATATTTTATTGTATTTCCTTTGGACTGATTTTTTTTCAAGGACATACTACTTACAATTGGTAAATCGTTAATAATTGGAGTTTATTTGGCCCTTCAAATAGTTAATGTAGTATACTCTGCAATGCCCAAGAGATGAGTTTAGCACAACTTGAATAGGTTGGTATGTTAGCACCTTAAGTTGAGAGACAATGAGAAAGCCCCTCTTGAACATCTTGAATGGTTCTTATTTGGAAGAATTGATTGGTTAAGGTTCAAGTGTTTGCATTCCCAATGACCAGATTTGACATCCACCATGGTTTGTTTTTGACTATAAGTATGAATCTATTGTTGCTAGGTGAAGAGTGTCAGCTTATTTATCTTAGTATGAATCCCTTAAATTTACAATAAAATTCATTGTATGGTTTCTGATGTGAAATTCATTCATTAAGATTCACTATCACAATGTTGACTATGAGATATGTTAATAAATGTCCAATTCGGAAAAATAGAAATATTTATGGATTTATGATATTATAATCATTGGATATTTTAATAATTCTTTATTAAATTTGAGGTCTAGGTATTTTCTCATTGTCAAAATCTTAGCAATGAGAAGTTAACAACATAAGCAATCTTATTTATCACCAATAGTTTGCATTCAATTTAATATTCATAGTATTTAATATGCTCATATATAGAATTTTTTTCTAAATAATGTAATTTAAGTTCTTATTCCAATGGATTATCCCAACAAAGAACATTATCTTTATTTATAATAGTTAAAACACTAAGTTACAAAAAAAATTTAAAATTGAAAGGCACCTTTTATCCAGCTCATACAAGCCAAGGGGTTCATCTAATGTCTACCATTTGTGTAAATTTAAATTTTGGGCCTTATGGCAAGGATGTTGAATGTGCTGCTGAAGCATTTTGAACTTGAAATTTAGTAAAATCCTATCCACCAAGTAACATAAATTTAATAAAAATTTGAAAAATTGACATTTTTCATCATTAATAAATACCTATTAGAATGGGTGAGTCCCATTCCCTGAAGGAAGATTGTGACACCCTATGACAAGATCTCATGGCCATTCTCAACACAATATGGACAATCAAGGAGGTACCAAACCACCCTCAAACACCACTGTGACAAAATTGAAGTAGGCATTTTTTGCATCAACAAAGGTTATGAGGCTAGTGAAGCTAGAGAGGGCAAAGCTTTCTTTGGTTCCCTTTCCTGCATGCCCATCATTAAAAAAATCTACAATGAGATACCAAAGATTGTCACATTACTATCTAGTGGAATAGCTAAGACTTTTCCACGTGTCAAAATTTGTTCAACACAAAACAGCATTGTGACAAATGACATAAATGTTTAGCGTCAATTAAACCTTAAAAGTAATTGCAAATTTTTAGGTTCAAATGGTTTTCCATCATTTTGTAGAAACCCAATTTTCTTTTTGTGAGGATTTGTTCCATTAGTTAATGTCTACACCCAATCTATAAATAAAATTATAATTTTTTATGGTGAATTGACAGTTGGCACTGACTAATCCTTGGAAAGTCTCTTTGAGTTGGTCAACCAAATAGTACATCTTCAAAATTTTAATTTTCCTCGTGAGATTTTCCAAATAGTGTAATATAATATATATATTTCTCACTTAAATATAATGGTGGTTAGATCTTTGACTAAAATTTGAAAGCTCAACCAACAATTCCTCAATTCATGGAGACCAAATCTGACTTTAATGGCGAAGTCATTTAGAGTTACAACAAGTACACATTTTTAAATATTTAAGAATTCTTCACAAGAAAATATATTAGTATTTTTCGTGATAATGTTTTGTTAAAAATATAGATATTTATAAGAGCTTAGTGTTTTAATCCTACTCTCATCCTTCAATGAGTTTTACCTGACCCTGACATAGTGGATTAGTGGCAATTTGAAAGATTCTATAAACACTAGACTTAATAAAAAATCTTAGGATCTGCTCATAAGGATAAATTTGCAAATGGGTGGGGATAATTTTCATGGCATCTCATACTTCAATGTCACATAGTTGAACTGGAGAAACTTTCCCAATGAATCAAAGCTCTATGGACCCCTTGTCTTCTTCTAAATCCCCTCAACTTCACCAGCTTTATCTCCCAAAAAGTTTCTGAATTTGGCCTTGACAGAGGTTCATTCAGAAATCAGATAGTCTGGGTGCAATTTCTAAAAAAGTTAACTTTTCACCATAGATCACTGGGAACTGATCAAATTCCGCCAGGGTGAATGCCTTAAATTCTTCCAAAAGTTTCAAGCCTTCAACTGTACAGCATAACATAATCGATTTAGCACCAGTTGTCATCATCACACATGAAAAGTGTTTTGACTACTCATAAACCAAGATAAATGAAATTATGTTTACTGCTTTTCATCCATAAAGTTAGTGCCCTAGCGACATGCAGTCTTTTCTGTGAAATAGTGGCCATGTATGGCCTACATATTAATGCTTTAATTATTATATCAAACAAAAATTGTTCTTACTCTTGAAATGACTCTTCCTGCCAAACTGAATTTTGTTGACATGTAATTCGTGAAAAAAATTGGACTTGTGCCTACATTTCTTCCATTAAACTTGAAGGAATTCTGAAAATCTTCTAGTTTGCTTTATATTAGGCTAGGAAACCTTTCATACAGTAAAAAATCTACACGGAAATAGCCATTTAATTGACCTGTAAACTATGACCATGACGTGACTTCTTCATCACCAAGGTACCGGCAATATCATCATCCTTTGATGGATTGTCATAATAAGTTCGATAATAATGTAAATCAAACCCACAACAGATGGATTCAGATGGATAATTACGGAGCAGTGGGATAGTTCTTCTTGGAAGAGAACAATGGAGAAAGGAAGTTGCTGAGAAGAACTGCAGAAAGAGAGTGGTCGTATAAAACTATCTCTGGTCTTGAAATATAGCCCAAAAGCTACACCTCAAAAAGGGGTTTGTCCTCCACCCTCTGAATAGAAGCCAGAACAGGGGTTTTAGGCCCAGGAGTCCGACTGAGTGATCCTAGTTTTTCAGCTGAAAAAGGTGTGTTTGCGTCAGGAGTAAAGATGAAGAGCAGTGGGATAGGTCTTCTTAGAGTTGATTTGTGTTCTCTCTGTGAAGAGCAGTTTTCATGAAGCTGGAATCAATACTTTTAAATTATGATGCAGCTATTTTCCTCCAATGGACTTCTGCATTAGAAGAGAATTACTTGTTTCTTCTCATGCAATGTTTAGCACAGTAGAAAATATCAGCAAGGATTTCATGTTTATTGTCGACTCCAATTTTTTTAGTGTTTAAGAAGATTCTGTCTTTTAGAATCGGTTCAGGGGGTCCCTAATCTTCCCTTATTGTGGTAAATTTGTTCATCCACGGTCATCTAATCACTGAAGTAATCTGAAAGACACGAGCTAGATGGATCAAAACAGTAATCTGAAGTTAATTCACTGAAGGTATAACACCAAGTATGCTGTTTTATTATTTCTCGACAATCATTCCTCTGCCCTCAGATACTTCAGGAAGATAATAAAGCATATAGAACACGAAGCTATGGGTAGTCCAGATCTCACACATCTATGGGAGTTACCATGGAAACATGCTTGATGCACACCTCTGTTCTCACACACTCTTAACGAAGTGGTAGTGATGGGATGGATGAACTGACCCTTCAAGTGAAAACATGTTACAACTGAGCATTTGGCTGCAGCCGAAGAAACTGGCAGCAGGTTTAATGAGAGGTTGAAAGCAACCTCTGAAAACAGGAGATAAAATGGACTATTAATTTTCAATTACTTTACAATCTACTTGACATTTACAGGAAAAATGAAAACAATACAGTGACGTGCACCATGAACGGAAGTACAAACCATGTATGTTGGGATCGATTTAGCTGAGTCAGCCCCATCTGCTCTCCTGTGATCCGCTCCATCAATCAATAGGAGCTTTTCAGCCAGATGATCCGGAGGGTGTTTTCATAATGCACAGATGGTTGGAAAATGAAGCAGGTCGCATTGTGGACTGAGGAGACCACTCCCATCAATTTGATTCAGCCACTTGACACGGTAGCTTGTCATATCCGATTATCCATCTCGTCAGCTGGCTGGGGTCGTCAGCAGCAAGGGCCTTGCAGTTGGGCAGAATCCCGAGATCAGTTCCTATCCGGCTATACTCCCCAACCGCAGCTTCCATTTCTTCTTCAACGAGTGAAACATCTCCACAGTCTAGACCCATGCTTAAAGCTTCACGGTAGTGCTGTTCCTCCTCGACATCATGCCCAAAGTGCTCTGTGGCTGGGCCCTGCACAGATCGGGGGACTTCCATACATCTTATTTCTCAAGAGAAAGGGACCGCAGATGACGAGGAGTATCCAGCTGAGATTACTCAGTCTAACATAGCCGAGGAGTATCCAGCTGAGATTACTGTTCCCCAAGCAATGACGTTTCAAACCCTGATGTTCTACAGGAGTTATTGGATGTAAGTTCATACTTTAGATATTTAACACTGAAATAATTGGTCGTCCAGGTGAAAACTAATTGGCAATGAGTAGACTAGACCTGATATGTAAACCACATGTTTGGCTTCACTCGTTCGATGGGAGATTATTTTAGCATGCCCCTGTTAGGTGCAGGCTGATGCCTGAGTGGGGCTGTTTTGTAGACAATCAGAAGGGGAACATAACCCAAAAAGGAATCTAGAGCTCAGATAGCATGCCAGATAGAAACAAAGATAGAATATTAATCAATTTTATTCAAGGAGAAGAGAAGAGACAAAACAGCAAGCTGACTGGGACCATAGATGTAGTTACTGCGCCTCTCTCCTACATATCAAAGAGGTTCCTATTTTTGATAAAATTGCCTGAGTCTTCTCTCTCTTTCCATCTAAGGAGCGTAATACTTCTAAAATGTCATGTTCCACTGGCTTCCATACGTCTAACAACAACTAAAACAACGTTCTATGGAGATCTATGTCCAGTAAAATTTACCAATATCAGTGGCTTAAATAAAAGCAAAGGATGGCTCCTTATGATTCGCCATGTCATGATTGCCTAACTGATTGGAGTAAATTTTTGGAGGTAGGGCAAACAAGAAAGCGTGTCCACAGAATATAAATACTTTTGTGAACTGTTACCTGACAAAGTTCAGCATAATGCTTGTAAGCCTCGCTGCTTTCATCTTGATAATAAAGGAGTCCGGCTCCGTACCACTTAATGTCATCAATAGGGGAAGTCAGTGATTCATACCTGCCAATCAAATATTTCAAAGAGCATTATATTCCCTCCTTCCATTTCGGTATGTCAAAGGTTTACACACCATTCTTCATTCCTCTCATTTCTCCGATGTTAGTGCTTACACGAAAAAAATCAGGTAATGGACGTCTGCCAAGGTTACTGAGGTATTATTTGAATGGAAAACTGTAAACTTCCTCGGGAATATTCTCTTAAACTTATTTATTAGTCATTCATGATAATTGAAGTTATTAGCTTTACAGCCACATCTCGTGCTTTTTAAGGAAATAATGAAAACCAAAATGGGCGTTTGATATGTAAACCTTCTTCCGTTGGTCATCTAAACATCCCAAAATTTATCAAAGGAAAACTCTCTTCGTCTGATTAAGTGCTAAATTCATAAATATGTTCTCTTTCTCCGAATTCTTTTATTGTTAGTAAGACCGTCCAGCTCTGAATGGGTTTCTGGATTCTGCTGACAATTTTGTTGTCTAAATCAAAATTACTGTTTTGCAACACCTAAAATGTATTGTTGGCTCTGGGTATGGACTGTAAGACATGAACCGCCGGAATGCACCTTTTATAAATTAGTCTAAACATTTGGACTCCTCTAATTATCTGACATATAACTGCTGTAGCACTCGAGTCTATCAGCTGAATTGACCAAAGAACGTGAAAACATGCAATAAAACGGATTAAGCTCAACCGTTGAATGCTAAATTTGTTGATGATATTGCCGTGACGAGTCATGTAAAGTGTCTGCTTCAATAAGGTCAGCAATGAGTATATATTCACAAGTTTTTGACAAAAGTTAATTTCACAATCATATCACCCCCTGGTAACAATAAGAAAGTCGGTGTCATCAATTTTCTTTCCTCTAGACTTGGTTGCATAAATTTACCAGTTCTCACAATAAACATTTGTTGGGCAAACTCCACTAACAACCAAGCGACTACAGCACACACCTGTTTCTCACTGTGCATACGTATTGGCATCACCTCCCTAAGGGGGGGGTGGGATTTATGTAAGAAAAAATACTTTTTAAAAACCTCATACTAGATCGCACAGAATATATAATGATAAAACTTCAAACTGAAATCCTTCTACTAGAAGAATAACAAACATAATATGGACAGGTCGTAGTATAATCTCTGCTTATTGGAGAGGCCTCTAGTAGACTTAAGGAAAGAATATCTCTAGTTCATAAAAAAACATTGTTAGTCTTGAGTAAAGCACATAAGATTTCAGATCTACAGAATCTGTGCTATCCAGTCATGTATTATTGATCCCAAAGTTTCTGAAAAGGAGGTTTCCATCTGAACAGAAAAAATACCTTTCAGCGGCATCCTCGTCATGAATCTCTGTAGAAGAGGATAGACAATCTAAATCCAGATATGCACCAATATCATTGTTGAACTTTGGCTCCTCACTTTCAATCTCATGTGCTTTAACCTTTGCAGTTGATACACAATCTTCGTTCTTTCTTTGTCCAAACAGCCAGTTGGGGGTTTTGAGCTGTATCTCTCTGCAATTATTTAAATTTATAATGAAAAATTATAAATTATAGAAAGGCCTATGGGAAAGTTTTGAAAGTGACATCACAGAATGAAAAATCTGAGTTTATGGTTAGCAAATCAAATGAAAGGTCTTTTATTTATCAGAAACATTCATTTGTGCATTCATGAAAGACTCAAAAACAAGGAACGAAGATGGGGAAAAAAAGTTTTTAAAATATACGTGAAAAATATTTACCAGGATGGAAAACAAAATTGTAAACTGGAGTAAAACGAAAGCAATAATTACCAATAGATAAAACTTTGAATAAAAATTTGAGCCAAAGTGAGAAAGAAATATGTGGGTCCAAATAATCAATATTTTTCAAGGCAGAAAAACATTCCTGGTTCTGATAAAATGCGGTGGGCCAAAAATAACTTTTGACACTGGGAATTGGAGACAGAGGGCATTCGTCTGACTGAAATGGCAATAGGTTCTGAGGGATCAATGATCTGAAAGGCACAAGTGCCCATTTCTGTACATTGAAGTCCAAATAAAGTGGAAGAAAGTAACTGAATTCATGAAAAAAAATCAACTGAGAAATATTACGCTGCATCTGCTGCCATTCCAGAGTTGACTAGAGTGCCAGGAGAGCTGACAACAGGCTCAACCCAAAGCCTTACATTCTTTACTGAACTGCAAGTGGCTTGTATCAGTTTATCGAAGGATGTTAACTTCATCCGATAAAAATCTTTTTTGCAGGCTGGAATGGGAGCAATGGTTGGTCTAGTCCCTTCAACTGCTACACCAACATGCAAGCTGAAATGTACGGAACACTTTCAAAGTAATGTATCAATGACCCAAGTAAAAAGGAAAAAATGTGTGGTAAAAATCACATTAATTAAGCCACAACCTCTCGTTGTCAGAAAATGGCTCCTCTCCAATACCGAAAACATGAAGGTAGTAGTCAGAATCTAGTTCCCAAAGAGCAGGTTTTCCTTCTTGTGGCTGAAAGTAACCCAAAAATCTGATGGACACACGAGAAATAAAAGTAAGTAAAGTGGTATGACTATCATAGGCTGCTCTCTACATACGAGTCTAGGCACTTTTTAAATAGGGAGGAGGATCTTCGTGATGTAAGATGACTGAGTAAAAAGGACAATTACAGGTTCATCGCATCCTGCTTTTCACCGTCTGTGTATGCATTGCTGTAGTATCGCTTGATAGACTTCAAAAATTCACGAGACTGTGTTGTAGCTTTCCATTTACCTTGTCTCTCGGGGAAAACCTAATCGAAAAATACAGAATGATGACCGTTAGAAATATATGTCATAACATAAAAAACTCTGGACATTAAATCATAAACATTCATATTTTTTAAGGAGTAATTGTGTATGTTATAAAAACATTAAATCAGCGATGTTCCAGAAAAACAAACTGTGTTGTGTGCTGCGGAGCCTCCATATTGCTGAGCTAGTGCATCACCCATACTCTGATACATTTCCATGAGAGCAGCTGCAACGCTACTGTCATGATCCACTTTGGGAGTATCAGTCAAACCCAAAGCTTGAAGCTGACGGCCTAAAGCTTCCAAGCCACAGGCATACTGTGAAACATTTGTACGGTCCAAACAATCAATGCAATTAGTGCGCAAGACCCCACTTTGGAAACAAGGCCCATTCAATCTCGGCTGTTGACATCGTTCCCCATTCTGATCGTGAGGGTTCACAGTACCAAAGAGATCATTATTGCTAACCACTCTTGAAACGTCACTTGAGTTACTTCTAAGGTCACCAAGAGAAGCTTCCCTGCGTGAAAAATCAACTGAGTACAACAAGCTAAAGGAAACGCTTAAAGAAAAACAGGTTGCACCTTCCTTTAGTCAGTCAGTTTGTACCTTCCTTTACTTGCTAGGCTAAGTTGAGTTGCCCTCTTCTTAAATTTGACTGGATTTCCACTGAAATAGAACCCAGTCAAATCAAGTGCTTCACTTGCTACTGAACCCAGAACTGCCAAAACATTGGCAGCCTTGCTATTAAAATGCATAAAAGAAGAAAAATTAGCACGAGTAAATGACCAAACAATGATGTTTATCAAAGAAAATTTAGCTAACCTCTTTGCAAATTTATGAAAATCCCAGTGAATAAACTTCAATTTCATGTCCTCTGGAAGGATTTGATTGAGATATCCAACTGCATGGGCAAACTCACGCCGAAGCATCATTTCTCGAGGCCTTTTCTCGACAGTCTACATCACCCAGACAGTTAAAAAGTGATATTCAAAGTTGGACCCTCTTCAAAGGGATTGCAGCACAAGAAACTGCATTCTCCCATGGTTTACAAGACTGGTGTCTTAGAATCCACAGAGAGCTAGCTAGGCTACAGAGAGCTCTCACAAATCTTATTCATAACAAATGGCGGAATATTAAACATAATGACCATCACAAAGAGAAAACAAATAGAAAACCTATTCTTATCCACAGTCCCATTCGTCTTCTCTCGATTGGGCAGGAAACGAAACAGAGAATGCATCCCCAATTGGTAGTCTAGTTATTTGATCCTCTCTTTGAATAAAATAGAAAGATATTTTCCGCAACAAATTGGTTCGTGTGCCCATTATTTCAAGACTAGTCCACTCAAAACTAGCTAGACAATTTCCAATGGAACTGCAAACTATGACAAACTTCCCTCCCTGATACCCAACTAGCATTCCAGAACACAACCAATTTACGTGACAAAAATTTTGCATAGTTCCACATGTATATATGAGATGGGATCCATATTAGGCCGGCGAAATGCATGATTGAATTAAATCTTTCATTATACTTTATATTTGTAAACTTGTGAATGGGATCCACTTCATTCTCTCTTTAAAAAAATATTTCAAGGCCCGAAGCCACTTTTATTATATTTCAAAACTACTAACCCTGTCAATAACTCCCAAATACCCCCATCATTCAATCTCGCGACTGAAATCTGAAAGAAGTGTCAAAGTGGACGTACATGTAGTTGATCACATCTTTACAGATGTGCATACAGAAATGCACAATTACCATTACACAATCCTGTTTGGCGGTATGCTCTCACTCTCAAGGAACTAAAAATGATCTCTTATTTTAAATTGAGATAATGACAGAACTGAAATAAATACTGACCATTTTAACATGTCCATCGATATAAACAAGACAAAAATATCCTGTTTATCTGAGCTAAGATTCAAGGGTCTTAGATGATATACTTCAGCGAATGTTAATGCTGAATTGTAGTTCTTTTAGGTGACCAAAGCTTACTTCACCATCTTACAACTAGTGACAGGGTGAAGCACTAAGGTGATTTTTTTATATTTTAAATACAAATATTAGAGAATAAGGTGAAATGCGTAGATGCACAAAATATTTATTTAAATATTAAAATTAAATGTTTACGAATTGGATATTTTACCTTCAGATTTATTGTAATCATACTGTGTTTATAAGAAGATACCACAGTAACCCCCCGTTCCACTGAGTTACAGGATAGGAAAAGATAAAATAGGATTTCAAATCCAAACGGGAGACTAGTCAGTTTCAGCCTTGGACCATTTCTAATATATGAGTGTAATATTTGACAATTGGAATTTAACTAGTATACATATATTAGTAGCAGTAAAATGTTGCCAAATGGATATACATATTCATATACACAAAAATGATATGCAATGAGACAAAAAAGAAGATCATCTCTACCTTAATCAAATTAAGTATGATAATAGGATTGCCATATCTTTTCACCAAGTCTTCAAAGTGTAACTTAGTGGCTTCGTATGTTGGATCATATCTATGAACTGGAGACAGGCATCAAGCAAGAAGGTTAAAGTCAGTAAAGTCAGTAAAGTCAGTAAAGTCAGTCAAGACCAAAAAACATGCCTATGATATCAGGTTTCGGACTAAATCGTGAAGCTTCCTGGGACCAGAAAAGTGGTATGGAACCGCGCATCTGAACAATGGAACTCATTCCTCCCTTGTATGTCCCAGCCTCTTCATCAAGGACAATCTGCTCAGTCTCAACATCATTGGCCACTCTTCCCCAATCATTTACTCCTCTTTTCAGATAACTGCCATACCAAAAAAGATGAATAACAAGAAAATATTTTTAGTAGAGTTGCATGAAATGCGAAACCAACTTCACTCTCCCTATCTTTGCAAAACCTTGTATAGCTATTGAAACTAATTGAAATATCTCACAGACAAAAAAAATGTCTTATAAAAAAAGATGACTAATAGAAGCATCATTTCCGTAATGCGTCACAACAAAGAGAACTGATCCAAAAGCAGTAACAATAAAATATCACACAATCCTTTCCTGCTAAGAGATTCCATTTTTGTTGCACCAACCCAGACGGACCATGGAGAAAACAGCATACCCATCAAAATTAATAAAGCCCTACTGTCTTCCATTAAGTCTTTTGATTAGCACATCCTGTGCAGCATCCATAACTTATCTTTAAAACTCCATAGACTGTCTGCTTGTTATCAATGGTTAAACCTGAATCAATCCAATGGCAACCATTAAAACTCCATTGCCTCGTTTATTTTGCTATCCAATCGACAAATGAGATTTGAACTTCCACATTTGTCTTTGCAATGTGTTTTATGCAATTTTCATCTCACAACATTGTAGCAACAGTGGACAGCAAATTAGCATTGTTCATAGACTCGTAGGATCACAATAATATCATTCATACAACGGTCAGATCACCTTGTTTAATTCTCAAAAAAACCAATAAGAACCAAAAGTGTTTGCAATGAAGCCCAACTTGAACCTGACCTGAACCAAGACTTGGGTCAAACTCAGGCTCTCGTGTGGGATCAAGTTAGGGTCAAAACACCAGTTCAGTTCTTGCCATCAAGGTCAAATGCCTTGAAGTTTCTATCCACGTTGCATTACCAGAGGACACACTCTGGGCATCTGTTGATCCCGGAAAGGCACAACTCTCTTACCTTCTTGGAAATTGTCAGCCCCTTGTACGCACAAAGCCACCCATCACTCTCTCTCCCATCATCCCCCTCAAATATTCCCACCCCATCAACCACTTAGACTACGCATGCTCACAGCGGACTAATTAATCACATGAGATCTTAAAGGGAACTGAAAATGTGGCATAAAAGAGTCAACTAAAACTCTGAAAGAAGACCTGACTTATTCCTAAGGGAAGGCACACACACAAAATGTATTCAGTACAAATCCAGTCTTCGAGTTTTATTGACTAGTGTTCCCTAGATATTGTTAAATTGTATACCACGTAGAAAGCCCAAGCAAGCCAAGTGTGGAATGGAAAAACTTACAAAAAAAAAATGCACAAGGGCCGTACAAGGAACACACTATACTTAAAGAGGCATGGAAAAGTAGCAATGCATACTCCCTGCTATAAGAGCTGATAACTTGGAGTTGAGTCCAAATATATTTTCACAGGTTTATCTGCCCAGATATGAGTTGGAAATCTAACAGCCTGACTGTGGTATGTCCAGAAATAAAAAAATTGACAGGTATAAAATAATTTGGAGAGAAAATCTTATAAATCTCAAGACCTACCTCTGGCCAGCTATAAAAATTATGCTTACCATTATTTCTGAAACAATGGCACAAATTACCAACATGCTGGGCAAAAGTGAGCAAGTAAAAAATCATAACTCATAACTCATGTGGACGTAGAAAAATTTAAAGTTTCAGGATTAGTACAGTCAACAGCTGAGTGTGGAAAGAAAATTCAAGTGAAGGAAACGAAAAGAGGGAATAAAACAAGCATGTGGCTAAGATATAACGAACAGTCCATATTTCTAAACAATAAAAACAAGCAGATTTCTGATATTTTTTTCATTATGAATAAACGCACCGTGTCCCAGCAAAATGTCGAGATCGCCTAGAAATGAGAACTATGCTGAATTCTCGCCCAAAAACTGACAGTCGGGCCTATCATGAAGAAAAAAGATTCCTCAGATTCGAAAACAGAAAATAAGAGATATAAATGTCCAAAATTTCAATAAGAAGATACTTCCGTCCACAATAAATAACCCTTTGATATATCATTGCAACAAAAGTGAAATTATTTCCGTTTTTTTTTCTAGAAGGCAATATGCTCATTGTTTGCAAATATGAAGTATTTCCATCAAATCAGGACGAATCATTTTTCAAGCGACTAATAAATATCATGAGATATTTTTAGGGCTATATTCCCAAGTGTATCTCCTGATCTTATTATATACTCTTCCAACAAATGACTAAGAGATTTTTTATAAGTCATGTTTTTCTATGCTATTTTTTCGCTTTTCCATTTTTTTTAAGCCTTTCCTGGGCATGCTTATTAGGACTTCTAAAGATACTATGAGAGTCTCCCAGCCATATAGACTATGAAAGTTTCATTCAGTTAAGTTGTCTAGACTAATAAGTGCTTTTTCATGGTATGAAAGCCACTGCAGTAACATGGACAGTGATATTTTCAACCTTAATCATCTTAAGATTGATGTCCAAGAAGAGAGTTGACGGTGGAGAAAGTACGAAATGAAATCTATAACTCAGACAGAACAAGGTTAATACCTTGGAAAGTTTTGACCGAGATATATTGCAGTTTTCTCACAGTAAAAAGCCTTAACATATAGGAGATTGTTGCTTTACAAGAGCTCAAGTATCCAAAGGAGAACAATTAAATCAAGTCCATATTTGTAATGACAATACTTCTTTAGAATTCAAGAAGGAAGACATTGAAAGGTGGAAAGGCTATCTTAACTCCCTCACCAAGACCTTCAATATATGTTTATTGGATCAAAGTGACGTGTTTAATTTCTAACTTTTCTCAAGATGTCAAGCCTGTCCAATCTAATCACGCGTCATAGATTCCGATCCACTTACCATATAATCCTCAGTAGCATAAGAAATCTGATCAGTTTATGCTTGACCCTATAAATCGGAAAATTTGTAGCTAATATTTCAGCTGTCCTAATTGCTGATAATGGCAACATTAATGTTACCCCTGCTGTTCCATTACACATTATATCATCATCAAAACAATCAAAAACTTGAATTGTACACTAGCCTTTTTTGATACCCATTGAGTAATTCTAGACCAAGACTGAGTGGAGGATAATTGATATGCTAAGCAAAGTAATGAGTTCTACTATCTAGAAGAAAACAGAGGGTGACTTAGACAAGTGAAATTAGTTGTCATTATGCTATGCCCAAAATTCAAAGTTTGGCTTCATCATTTAACACTTGATCTCCCTCTTTTTAGACATTTCAACCATATCTCCCTCAACGTTCTATAACATTTCCATTGGCAGTTTGCACTGATGTAATCGAGTTTGTGACACATCATCTTGTTCTTTACCATTGTGTTCAATAAAAGCATCAAAGCCTTCTCCTTAATTCATTCTCGTAGTTTGAGGCCCGTCCAAATTTTCAAATGTTACTGTTCGCATGTGGTTTGTCTCGTCATCAATCATTCTACTAGTATAACTAGGTGGTATCTCATAAAAGGAAACTCTGAACCAAAAGTGTTGTAGTATTCCACATAGTATGGTCAAAACTTAGATTGAAGAAAGTATAATGTGGACTTCACTTAATATTAGGAAGGAATATGTCAACTAATCTAACATCTTTTTTCTAAAGCAAGTAATACTCCACGAATCCTCAACAAATGAGGTTGCTGAAGACAAAAACAGGCATACCTTACAAGTCAAAAGGACTTTGACCCTTCTAATCTAATGTACCAAAAATATTTTATGAAAAAGAAATTTTGACTACCTATCTAAGTAAATCAACTTCCTTCTTGTGCCATTGGTAATTAAAGCCCACTAGCTATTCCCAAAAGTATTTGATTAAGCAACTATGATCTTATTCGTAAAGGGCATTTCTCAAATTTTGGATCCTCGAACTCCAAAGTGCCCTTATTGGCTATGCCAACTATCAAAAAAGGTACAAATGCCATGATCCTCCTAGTCCTCCAGTTTTTCTCACTAATAATTTTTTTATCCAAAGACTCCTTAGGATACCTTTAGTGAATACTATTATCCTTTTAACATGCACCTTTAATTTCTAAACAGAAGCAATGGTAGCTTGTTTTCCTTTGAAGTTTCCAATTGATGTCTTCTAGTAGAATGAAGAATATTTTTCTCAGAACCATCTTGGTAGTCTTAAACGACTAAACTTTCAAGCCATCATAACAACTCAGACATCAACATCAACCCCTAGAAAGAGTTTTCAGTTAAATCAAGGTTACAATTAGATGTATCCAGTAGATATGGATGAGTATTGCTTTAGCCCAACAAGTTTAACAGATCAGGGACAAAATGTCGAATTGTATTTTTGACAATGCAGTAGCCAGAGTTTGCCGGTCAAATTTTTCGAAAGGTAGTCAAAAGTGATCCCACTATACATTTAACTACAGAAGTATCACTTTCATCATGAGAACAAAGAAAATAACTAATAAGATATCCCAGACAGAAATTTATGATCGCAAATACCTGTTTGAAATACCCATGAACTAAAGCAATTGTCCAGTGAGCATTACTACACCTCGAACGGATTGCTCGAGTAAGAAATGTGTTCCACACAAAGATGTTTTCATATGGCATGCTTTCCCCACCCGCTGCCTGAACATTCTTCTGTAGGCTTCTCATGATTGGATATGTATAACTATAGAAGAAATCCTTTGTTAGATCAACACTTGATAAGAGCTTCTTGTACCTGTGCGCAAGGGCCAAAGGAAAATAAGAAACTTGTTGGCGACTAAGTGCTCTAAATATCAGAACCCTTCTGTAGGAAAGTAAGCTCCAAGAACGTTGAAATTAATACAAAAGTTTTCCCAGTGAAGCCACCTACAATGAACTTTAAAGGGAAAATATCTACCTAAGCTCAGTCTTGGAGTATGCCACGTCAGACTGTACTGTTGAGTGGGGAACAGGGATCATCTGGCTTTCCTCGATGCTATAAATTGCGTGGCCACATACGGAACCTATCTGGCGACGCTTTGTGACGAGAATCAAATAGTACGATTCTAAGAATTTTATGCATCCTGAAACAAACTAAGAATTTTGAATAAAACAAGGAAATGCCAGTGACAGGAACGCCAATGATTTCAGCTGCGGAATAATGTGGAAAGAATGCCTCGTGGCTGAGCAGGAAAATTCGGAATCTATTCGGACCTGCTATACCGCAGACGTTAGCAACGACGTTGAGACCACCTGTGGACCGATTTCCCTCGTCGATGCGCTGCAGAAGACTCTTGACTTCCTGCGGCGAGTACACAACGGGATCCTCGCTGATGTTCAGTTCGGATGGCTCCGAGCGATCGATCTTCAACACGCGGAAGAAGCGCCTTCCCCTGTCGCTCCCGATGAGATAGAATCTCTGCAAACCATACGTCACTCTCCCACCCATGTCCCAGGGACACCACAGAAATGGACTCAAGAACCGAAGAAATGGGAGATGCCTCTTACCGATCGGGTTTCATAGAGGCGAAACTTCTCAAGAGAGCACGAATTGGGGTCCCCCTCCTGCTCCAGGGGGGGAAGATGCTTCCCGTCGTAGGGCGGGTTCAGCTTCGGCTTCTCCGATTTTGCCATGGCGCTGCACTCTCCGTTTCCCCCTTCCCCTTTTTACAGGCTTCCGCTTCATTTTCTCTGTTCTTCATTCTCTCTCCACCGGAAAAATACCGGCGGTTCATGAGTTCCGGTTCGAACCGGCCCATCCAAGCGGTCGCACGGGGGGGAGGGGGCACGCCTGCTGTCCGGTTCATGCTCCCAGGCCCGGTTCCGACCGGTCCAGATAAAGGTTCCAAGAAACTGGGCTCTCACATGGACCAGGCATATTATTGGGCGGGAATGGAGGCTGGGGCGATGGAAGAAGCCTTGAGAGTCGTGGATCTGTGTCTCTCGCGCATCAAATGGCGGCTCTCGTCGTCGGCGAGGCATCGGCTTCACATTGGTTGGAGACCGTCCCCCGCTCAGAATCTTCCTCCAGTTTCTTCTTCCATTGATTTTGTGATCTTGCTCTGTCATTTGGCTGCACCATTACGTTTGGAAGCTTTTCTATGGCGCGATCGGAATGTTTGCGATCTCACAGTAGTCGTTTCTTTCGCGGGGAGGGATGGGGATTTTTCGTAATTTTCTATTTATGCTACTTTCGCGTAGTGGTTTCCTCTGCGGAATAAGTCCTTGTAGACCTTTAAGATTTTCTATTTTCAGCCCTTGTTCGCTCGTTCTCCAGCATACGGTTGAGGCTGATGAGGAGGCCTCTCCGAATGACACTCTGTATGTTGGAATTTTCCTTACAAGGATGTGTACAATATCGTTGAATAGACATGGATTGGATTCCCGTTTTGCAAAAATATTAATTAGGCCGCAGCTTCTCTATCTCTCTCCCCGTCTACCAGCTGTTTGATGCTTTTATCATCAATGGAACACATCAGGCATGCTCCGTGAAGTATACTTCTTTTAAGGAATTCACTTCGTCTTTTTTGGTAGACGTTATTGCGCTATGCACGCGATTGAGGCCTGTTGTGATGGTGGATTACGGGGGAAAAATACCTGAACTTACGGAGCATCTCTGCAAGCTATTGCATCTTTGTCACGAGGTTTGAGACACCTGCATTTTGTCGTCATCTTTTTTCATTCCATCAGAAAGAAAAAAGAAACTCACTTAAGATTTCTATAGATTGATTTTCCTTGACATGTTGCTTTGTTTAGTTCTTCTAGGGATCAGTGAAGAGTATTTACGTTGCTTCGTTTCTTTTTGTGGTTGAGGCTTAAAAATCAAGAGTCAGAGGTTTTTACAATGAAATTTTGCGTTTTACAATTTTACTTTTAGTTCGTTTTCATGAAAAATAAAGTGAAACAGTGATGATGTTCCCTCACTAAACCATAGAAATTCATGATCTGAAGAGATAAAGGCCTCTATGTCTATGTCTTCAGTCACATATCACTCTGTCTGATCCCAAGCCCCCCACCCCCCAAACCCCATTAAAAAGAACAAAAAGAAAATCCCTCCCTTTTTCTCTGTTGGTATTCAAAGACTGATAATTAGCTACATTACTAATCTCATTGTTATTCATTTCTAGGGTATCATAATTCTTGTGAGAGTGACTTTTCAAAATTTTGATTGGTTCGAGTTCTCCACAAGCCACTTGAAATATATAAGCTCATCATCTTTTCACTTGAAACCATATGTTCCCAAAAACTTACCAAGACGTTGATTTTGTTCTTCATTAAATTTTCTATTAACTATGCGGAATACTCTTACAACATATCATTATTACTTGAATAACTTAGTATGATTTTTTAAAAGACAATAATACCCCCTTAGTGGCTTGAGAGAGAGCAAGGGGGGGGAGCAAGAGAGAGAGAGAGAGAGAGAGAAAGAGAGGAAGGGGATGGTACATGATTTACGGTTATTAGATAGAAAGATTTAATGATCTTTTCATGATGTGGTTAAAAGTTAATCCAGCATAACCAAAGTTAACTTGGGTATCTCTAATATTGAGCAATGAAGAGGGGACTAAGGACCCAAGAAAAGATGTGAGGTTTATCCATAACTCTGGTTTATGGGAGCTAAAAAATAACTATTAAAATTATAAATGACACATTTTTTTAACTTTATGAATTACAAAAGCAATTTCCTAATCGCTTTTGTATGGTAGCTGCAACATTCTATCGTGATTCTTTTTGTAACTTTAGAGGACCTTCATATAATTGGTCCATATATGAATGAAAAGGTAGGATATTGCTCTCATATCCCTCTGGAGTAGTTCTATTACTGATATCTCTTTGTCAATTAACTGCCGCTGTTTCCCCATACACGAAGTAATAGAAACCAAACTCAGTTTGCAGCTGAATGACAGTCATGTGTCTTTTCTCAGATGTAGATTCTGTTATGTTTTCTCAGTCGCATGTGCACACAGATTCACAAGTACACAAGGGTGCTGGACAACCCTCTGCTCTTTCTTGTCATCATTAAGAAATGCAGAAGCTTGCAACCAATTTCTGTTTCAGATACTTCGCCTCATGATATAACCAAATTTTTCTACAAAGTACAGGCAATAAGTCTTGCTTTCTGGGCATTTTTTATCCTTGATTGTCTAGGGTAATGGTCATAGAATACCTGCAGAGTGTGCACGAGTCAATCAGATGATTATTTCTTCTCTACAGGAATCATCTATTTTACAGTCTTTGAGAGTGATGATCATAGAAGACATGATCTATTTGACACATGTTAAAGGACTCGCTGAACATTCCGCTTTTGATCCTACCTTTCAGACTCAGCCATTTTTCGTGGACCTTGATCAAGATCCTCCAATGGTTTGCCCACTCCCTTAAAGAGTATTTTTTTTTTCGTGTTACTTTTATCATCCACATCACGTCTTTTATTTGTAGCTGCTGCCGTTTACAGAGCAAAATATACTCATATCAGGGCTCATGGCGATTCAGAAATTGTTTTCATGTGTATTTCCAGTTGATGGAACGGATAAACATCTTTCTATGGCTGTGCCTTCTCTTCTAACAACAACTGCAGAGACATCCACAAATGATCGAAGTGAGTCCTCAAGCTTTCGTGGGCCTATCTCTCTTCAGTCCACGCCAGTCGACCTCAGTTCCTGCATGAAAGACACTGACGTCGTCATACCAACCTTGAATGGGTAAATTCTCCTCCTGCGATTATAAACCTGCTCAAGATGTGGTGCTCTCAGTTGCCGTTTATTGACAGAGCTCCACTGGCAATAAATTCTTTTTATGTACGAAGTAAGCAGCTTGAACTTTGGGCTATCCAGTTCTTCTATCAGTTTACACATTGATTAGAGAGGCAGCCTATTCTTGCATTTTTATTGAACTTCACAATTTATTTTCAACTTTATGTTGGCTCCATGCTGGTATATATAATTATTTGCCCCAGAATAGTAAGAGAAACATCAGGGTCAATTTGATGGCTGCATGTTCGTTTTGTTAATTATTTCTGAAGGAATGAATCCTATGTTAGTCATTTGTTTGTGGACTTCACCCTCCCACATACCGAGAATTGATAACCAATGTATAAAATAAAATAGATCCCTTCCCACATACATTTGACACAGCAATTGTAGCACTCTTGAAACTAGGATTTGACTCATGGAATGACTTTAATCAATAATCACTCACGCTTGCATGCAGATGGCTTCTTGGTTATCCAGTAGTATATTTATTCAGCAAGGATCACATTGCTGATGCTGTCTACAACCTTTCGACAAAATCTCTTCGTATCTACAAGATTATAGCCCACAGGTTCTTTCCTTTGGATAACTAATAATCCCCTTCAGTGTTTCTTGGGGGTAGATTCAGAGATTTTGTGATCTTCTCCTTACAGAAAAGGAGCATCAGGTAGGAAGCAGCACGAAGAGGAGCTAATGAGGTCAGTTCATTTTCTTCTCCAGCTGCTTTTGCTTCCAGCTATTTATTCCCATGCTTTAAGATATCCTTACTTTCGGTAACGCCTCAAAGTCTTTGCATCTTCTAATTTCCTATTTTAGGAAAAAATTACCTCATGAACTACAGTAAAAGCACTTTCATTATGTTCTTAGGAGGTGTAAGTGGGTCAGGTCAGGAGTTGAGGAAAGGGGGTAAGACAGGCAGAGAGAGGAAGAGGGAGGGGGAGCAAGACACGCAGGCACACGCGCACACACACAGAGCTAGTGAGATAGACACAGAGAGTGAGAGAGGAGGAGAAAAGACGGAGAGATACACAGAGAAGGGAGGGAGAGGAAGCAAGAGAGAGAGAGTGAGTGAGAGTGCGACTTGGGAGACTCTGGACAGATGCGTGGCTTTCAGTCCTGTCAATGCCTGGACAACTGGTCATAGAGACTGGTCCTGGGCCTATTTTTCTTTACAATGCTTGATTTTGAAACTGAAGTCTGGGAAGAAGCCTAGTTATTTACAATGCTTGATGCCCAACATCCTGCTTAGCAAAACTTACTCAGCGTCTACTTAGGAGTGATCTGGTTTTTTCTTTACCCGAAACTTTGCCTCACTCGCAGCTTCTCTGTTCCATATGATCTGAGCATGGCTGGGAGCCAGGAAGTGTGGGCTCAGGCATTTCTTGCCCGTCTGATGGGGAAGCTTGAGAGCTGCAGCCATGTGTGGTCCAGCTTGCGCCTCGAGGTCAGTGAATGCTACTCTCAGGCAATTGTTCTATAAACCAAGCTCAATTGATTGAAGAGTATGCCCCTCCTAGTCGCTGTGTGAGCCCACTTTTTTAGGGTTTCAAGTCAACCATGGACTACATCAATATACTGAACAAGGTCAAGTGGGCCCCAGAAAATAAGAACAAGGTCGAGGTTTTGGTTTTAGGGTTTCAAGCAGACCCTAGAATGTATATGTGAGTCCGTTAATATATTTATTAAGATAATGGTAGAATTAGTATAATATTTGCCTATTTATTAGTGCATATTGTGAACTATCCAAAGTAACCACCAACAGTTTTAAAATTAATATATTAAATAATTTATGGATTATAGATTTCTAAATTTATTATTTAATAATTAAAATCCCGTCTGTCTTTTCCGAGACGACGTATCAACGAGTAGTTGACGCGTCACTTCCATGCCGCTGCATACCCGTGGATGGGCGGGGCAGCAAGCTGCCGGGCACACCTCGATCCGGAAATCGATTCGAGCCGGACTACAGATATTAGTTGGGCCGAGCGGGTTTCCTGATAATGGACCGTCCAGTCTCCGAATGCACTGAGCCCATTTGTACCCTAGCAGGTGACCGTGAGGCTCACTTTCCCCCGTTTACCGCTCTGGGTGCCGCCTATTTAATATCGTGATTCGCTGTATTTAATTTCAGTAGCGGGGAGGGTAAAACGGTACCTTCCAAGATTCTGAGTTTATTTTGGAACATCATGTTTTTGAAATCTGATTCGCAGGTCGGAATGGAATTTTCCAAAAGGAAAGATTGTCGAGGAGGACACTCCTTATCGGGTTCGGTTGGTCGCGTCATTAATTTCGGGTCGGGAAGGATCCGTGACGGGGAAAGCGATGAAATCGGTGGAAATCTCGTGCTTCCGCATGTTTCGAACGATTCAGCGCCCAGCCCGGGAGGACGCGGCGGGGAGGGGGGCGGAAGGAGGAAAACGGGAAAGCTCGGCTAAAGCCGTCGCCCGGTGGATGACAATCGGAGGGGATCTGTTGCAGCTCCGCAAAGAGTCCATCGAGCAGGTACGGCTCCGCGACGTTCCGCCGCAGCTGTACGACGACGCGGGGGGTCCCAGGCGAGAGTCCTGAGAAAGGGAGTCCAGGTGCGGTTGTGTTCTACTCTTGATTGTTTTTATGTTGGATAAGATGGGAGGTAGAGGCGTGTCGCAATGGCTTGGCATGTTCTTCTCTTTGTTGATTATACAGTGAGGTGCGAATCGTGTCCATGATTTTTGCTTGTTCGTGTCGGTGAAAGGCTTTTAACTCTGATGTATGGCCTTGGCTGTCTGATGTGTCTAGTTTTTATGATCTGTTTCAGAGAAATTTCGGGGTTTCTCTCTCTTTCTCTCTCTCTCTATATGCGTACTACTCATTCCCAAAACGTGATGAATTAGTGTCTGCTTGTTAATCCGTGCTGGTCTCGTTTTCTCGGAGTTGTTGGACGACGTGCTTTCTTGTTTTCATATTTTTCAATCAGCAGCATGAAGGACTTTATTAATATGCATCATGTCCCGTAACTTCGCATCCATGCAATGTTTGGCAAGAGGGGTTCTTATCTGACATGAAGTCTTCTAATCATCCAAATTCTATGCCGTACGGATGCAGATAAGTTACCAGCCCTTTCGGCTTAGAACATAGATGTTCTGAAAAAGTTATTTTCTCAAGAGGTGTTCTGGGCATTCCATGGATTCTTCCTGAATCTTGTCTACATCACATCATTGATTCATATGTATATATGTACCTCTATTGTCTCCACTAGTTCCATAGTATTCTCATGGGCCATATATTTTCTCGAATATATTCACACTATTTCTGAAGTTTTTCATTTTTTAGCTATATAAACATGCAATGGCTTCTGTTTATTCATCATAGAGTTCCTTATTGATGTATATAGGTCTTCTAGTCTGTTCTTATGTTGCAACGATTCTTTCTCTGTTGAGAAATAACACCTAACAGTTTCAATGTTAACCCTGAGAGTTCACTGGGTTATTGAACCAAAAGAAATAGCTGGGTAGTGTGGGGATTTCTAGCTTGGAACCCCTTTGTAATTATAAGATACTAATTAAGAATAACACCGTATGGGTTGCAATAAAAGAAACCTTGTTATTATAAATATGTGCATGTTACATTCGTTGCCATTAATTGCAAGTGATATCTTGGTGTGATGAAAAGTATTGACAATAAATTTCTGTCAAATAAGCCTTAATTTGAACCAACATTGTATCAGAATTCATAATTTCTCTTAGGACATGTGGACCTCATTTCCTCATTTGTACTCGTATGAAGAAATTTACAAGTCAACTTGCACATGAGGGGTTGTCTTAAAAATGGTCCTTGTTGATATTTATAAAAGTACACTAGAAATACTCTCTCTCTCTCTCTCTCTCTCTCTCTCTCTCTCTCTCTCTCCTCATTACCAATGAGTTGCGAGTTGGATAGCGTAATAACTTAAATAGCATTATTGTTGTATAAATTGTCTCAGTTTGTTGAAGTGTATGGTATTCTGATCTAGTGTTCTAAGCTGCATCAGTGGTGAAACGAAAAGCTCAGAGACATGACCAGAAATAAGAACCTACTTACATAAGTTCTTCATGTCTTCTTTTTTCTTCTAACATTTCTTGTCCTCATCCTTCCACAGTTTTTTCCATATGTTCTGCATGTGTCTGACGTCAGTCAAATTAACATATGATAGAGTAAATGTTTATGCATAGATAGAACAGAAGATGCAAGGCTTACTCTGCTCACCAAGCCTCAGTATTGTCCCTGTGGAGAAAAAAATCGGAAGAAGTAGATTTCGTACTTGGATCATTTCAGTTTCAGGTTAGTAATAGGATACCGCCATTCACATCAATTTCGAAAACGAAACTGCATGTATTCCACCACATTTTTCATCTACATGAAAATTCAGGTGGGAGGTTATTTTAGTTTTCAGTTCATAGTAACCCCCTGGATTAGAGAAATAGACCCCATATTTTGTGATTTCTTGAGCAGTGCTGCAAATTCAGATGCCTATGACAACACTGTCACTTCTCGGCCAAGTGATGGAAAATCTTCTTCTGTTGCATGTTGGGGCTATGAAATTGTCAGATTCTAATGGTGAGAGGGTAGTAATTCTGTGAGGGTAAAGGATAGGGAGAGCTAATTGCATGAGTGCAGAAAGGATCAGTGCAGACGTCATGTTGTGCCACCTGTAGATGATGTAGTTCTTCAGGAGACCCATTATCCATTGGAAAAATAAGAATGAATAAGGCCATCCTGGGGCCTCTCAATGTATTGTGGGGCAGAGAGAAGTGATTGCTTGAGAAATATTTTTACTGGTAGCAAAGCATACAGTTGTTGGAAGGTGGTCGCATGAAAACCTTGACCTTGGATTTAAATAGCATTTCTGCTCATGAGCATCTTGGCTGACTTTTCTTTATCCATTAACTCCATTAACCTAAGGAATGGCCAAGCAATGCTTTACTAAATGATGGTGCAGTTAGTTTGTTAAAAATAAATAGTGACTCAGATAATGATTAGATGAAGGAGATTTTTCAACATTTTAGGGTGTCTAATAAACTTTAACGTGCAATGATAGAAAATTTTGCAACAATTCACACTTTTCAGATGACAATACTACCTAGATCGGGAGAGCACAAATCGAAATTAGAGAAATAGTGGCTTTTTCATAATTTTATGAGTTCCCAGTGCCACAAAACTGAGAAAGATTTCTGGATGTATTGCAGTACATCAAATTTAAGTCAGTGTGAGATACATTCTGATGAAATAGATGAAAGACTACAGAAATGGATGCCAAATTTGCCGTGAAATTTTTTGGGATGGTGGATTCCAGACTTTGGAAGGCAAATTTATCTTGGTTTTGACTTGGAATCTGGGTAAAAGATTTTAGCATTGAGAATTAATCTACAATGTTTCTGTATGGATGGATGATTGATTCATTGTGACTGGTCGGAGCTCATGTGCTGTAGCTCCCAACTTCAAGTTTGCTTGGATATCTCTTTAGCATTTAAGTTTTGTTTCGAGGAGGTGTTATCACTAATTTCATAAACAAGAAATGGATCCATCTGATAGGAGTCAAGTGGTGGGGTATTTCTCCAGCTTCAAAGCAGAAGAAAGTAGACATCAGTGAGTGAATTAGGCCTCAAAAGAGAAAAGGGCAATTATTCTGTCAGCTCATATTGAATATTACGAGGTACCATGAATGCTTGGTGCTCAAGGAAGCTTGGTATTTGGTGAATTGTTAGGTTTTACGAATACCATTAGCTATGCCTTCTTTCTCACCAATTAGGGAAAACTATGTTAAAGATACATGATCAACTTCCTGGTTAATGCTCTCTCTTTGTTTGTGGCCCAAGGACAAATGAGCTTGATAATATCCTATATTTGTAAAAACGCGTTTAACATGCTTTACCATAGAAATTTATTGATATCCTTCTTGTCCCCTCCCACAGAAGATGCTATTTTCTATGTCATCTTTGAAATGTGGGAAAGGTGAATTTTGGCAATGATTTTCTTTCTGAAATTTCACTTTCGTCAAATCTGGTGATCCCTTTACGCGGTAGGTTTTTCAAAGCTCGAGAAATCCCGACCTGTGGAGGAATTAAACATCTTCTGACATTAGGTTGTTGAATTGGATGTATGGAGAAGAATATCATGTGGTGTGACATTTTACTATCATACCTGTCAGTCTCTTCATCTTTATAACTTTTGGCACCTATTTTCCTTCTTGTGTATGATGTTTGTGAAAGTTTTTGATTAGTTCTAAATATTGGGAATCAGATTGATGGGACGTCTGGAACATGAACAAATTTACCTGAGTCTCTCACGCAAAGAGCTTCAAGGACTATGTAAACAGCATGGCCTTCCTGCAAACAGAAGCAACATCGATTTGGCAAGGTCATTGGAATCCCTTTTCAGGGTAAATTTCTATCGGTGCTGCATTACATTTTTAATATATGGAAACTACTTTTCTTTGTTGATGGCATGAGTAATCTATGCCAT